AGGGGGCAGACCGCGACTTTTAGGAGAAAAGAAGGCAAAGGCCCAGTTGGAGAGATGCCCTAAGCTACAAGAGCCGACACCCCGGTGCTAGACTCCATGGTAAAGCTTCCAGAGTACCTTTAACTGGTGGTGTTTGAAAGAACAACATGCATGAAGAGTGGTGGAAATAAAGATTGAAAGCACGAAAGGTTGGATTCATAGGATACGAAAATTTCAAACCAAGTGTAAGAAACTTATACGTTCTCCTTTGCTTTGGGTTGATGAAGACAAGACTCAAAATGATGAGACCTCCACACTTTAACACCACCTTGAGAGAGTTAGAGAGTGGCCGTGGCTAGGGAGAGAGCTTTTAGTTTGCTTGTGAGTGGACAAAGTGAATAATGAACTAAAATGCAACCATTTGCATTTATATATACTTGGGCAATTTTGCAATTATTTGTTTTTCATTTCTATGCCCCAATAAAATCTTATTTTAAAAGGTGCCCATGAATTTATTATTTTACCCATTGAATAATCAATATTATTCAACGGCCTATGTAAACTAAACTAGTTTACATTAAGAACCCATAAATTTACCCTTTTACCCTTTAACTATTAAAAGGCTATTTTCGTTCATCTCATTAATCTTAACGCTTTAAGATATAATAATTAAATATAATTAATTATTGCTTGACCATTTTAACCCTTAAAATGTCACAAACAATTTCCTATGTAACTATTACCATAGAAATCCCGTCATTACCCTTGGAAGGTGCTAGCCCTCTCCGGATAATCATTTCACTCTCTCATCCTTCTCCAACTTCTTAAGGCTATTGGTGTGACCATGTAGATCCACCGTGAATTAGCCTTGAGTCGATTTTGGATGAATCTGAGAACCTATCCAGAGGCCCAACAACTATGGTAAACATCTAGCAATATGCCATAGTCCCTAAACCATGATGAAGAAATACTTCATCAAACCCATTTTAGATCATATGTACCATGCAGGTAAAATCCTTCCATTGATATATCCTGATCGAGCACGGATTCATGGAACGTCAAAATCCTAAACTCGATCTTCTATTGAATCGCCGATCAATATGTCCGGAACTCATCATCACAAACTTGCTTTTGTATGACTAATAATAGACTCTGGCCAGATATTTTGATTTTCGACATTTATCGACGTTCGTCCAGGAATTTGAATCTGGATGGAGTTAGCGGTACTCCTTATCCTTATTTCTCTGTCAATAGATCCCCTCTTGACCATCGTTCGTTTCCGCATATGAACAACGCATGGCCAAATAGGCTTTATTGTACGAAACATGATTAGTCTCATACTTATACACCATATGAACCATACGCATCTGTATCAAATCTGACTACAATGTTTCAAGTCAAAGGATTACATTGTGCACTAATATAACCAAATGATAAATCATTGACTACATGCTTTTCCAAGTGATTTGTCGTTACTCGGTCACATTCGAAAAACAGTTCACCAACCGCTAATCCATACTAATGTCCTAGTGACATGACTATCATCGCCATCCGTACTTATATCAACTCATGATATCTTTCGGAAGCATCCAGTATGCCTACTATGCAATATAGTTGCCCAACTTGTATTGCTTCCATAGGGAACCCTGAATCATCTGGACTATTCATATGCGTACTTTATTTTAAATGCATGACTGAATAAAGGAAGCAATTTACATATATGAATTGAAGAACACTTTCTTCTTTTATTTATGATATATAGATACAAGACAAAATGCTCTGAAACCGACAACACGAATGGTTTCTAGTGCATACACTAATATACACTAACAAACTCCCACTTGCACTAAAGCCATTCGATGTTGTATTTCATACCCATGTTCTCAAGATGATGGTCCAATTGCTTCAGTGTCATCGCCTTAGTTAGTGGATCAGCTACATTTTCTGCTGAAGGTGTCTTCAAAATTATAATCTCTCTAGCTCCAACGAATTCTCTCAAAATGTGATCCTTACATTGAATGTGTTTGGACTTTTGGTGTGCCCTTGGTTCTTTTGCCTGTGCAATAGCTCTAGTATTGTCACAGAACATGCTTATCGAGTAAGCCATGTTTGGAACCGCACCAAGTTCAATTACGAATTTTTGCATCCAAACAACCTCTTTCGCTGCTTCTAAAGTAGAAATATATTTAGCTTCTGTAGTGGAGTCAACTGTGGTTGTCTGTTTACAACTTTTCCAACTAACTGCACTTCCATGACATATAAAAATGCACCCTGATGTAGACTTTCTATCATCAATATCTTATTGGAAATCAGAATCTGAGTATCCTTGAATGTTTAACTCTGAACATCCATAACTTAAAACTAGATCCTTAGTTCTTCTCAAGTACGTAAGGATCGATTTTACAACCAACCAATTTTTCTCCCCTGGATTTGACTGATATTTGCTTGTAACACTTATGGCATAAGCTATATCAGGTCTTGTACATAGCATTGCATACATTAAGCTACCTATGACAGACATATAAGGCACATTACACATTCGCTGCTGCTCTTTATCGGTCTTTGGACCCATCTCCTTGGAAAGATGAAGACTACGAGTGAAAGGCAAGAGACCTCTCTTAGAGTTCTCCATGCTAAATCTTTTTAGCATTTTCTCTATGTACAATTTCTAGGATAATCCAATTACCCTTTTCATTCTCTCTCTATAGACACAGATGCCAAGGAGATAGGTCGCTTCTCCTAGGTCTTTCATCAAGAAGGTTTTGGACAACCAAACCTTAACCTCTGTCATCATGCCTATATCATTTCCCATCAAAAGTATGTCATATACATATAATATGAGAAACGTGATGGCATTATCTTTAACCCATTTGTATACATAGGGCTCATTCGGATTCTTGACAAAACCAAATCATTTGATTATTTCATCAAATCGAATGTTCCAGCTTCTTTAAGCTTACTTCAATCCATAAATGGATCGATGCAATTTGCATACCTTATGTCTTTCAGCAAAGGATACAAAACCCATCGATTGTTCCATGTCGATGTTTTCCCCAATAAACTTATTGAGGAAAGTTGTTTTGACATCCATCTACCAAATTTCATAATCATGGTATGTTGCGATGGCTAGCATTATACGGATGGATTTAATCATAGCTACAGGCGAAAAGGTTTCCTCATAATCCAATCCTTGTTTCTGAGTATAACCTTTCACCACCAGTCAAGCTTTGAAGGTTTCTACCTCCCCATCCTTGCCAACTTTTCTCTTGTAGACCCATTTGCAACCTATAGGAACTATTCCATCTGGTGGATCCACAAGTGACCATACTTGATTGGCATGCATTGATTCTATCTCAGAATCCATCGCTTCTAGCCATTTTCCTAAATCTCTATCTAGTATTGCTTCTTTGTAGCTTCTAGGATCATCACCATGATCATCTACTCCCACTAAGTAAGATTCAAAATCTTGCTCATGTAGGCAACCATATCTCTCTAGAGGTTTTGATATTCTAGAAGACTTTCACATTGGAACAATAATATCTGATACTGAGGTTCGCTAAGTGGATGTTCCATCTTCAGTAATCTCGGTTCTTGACTCTTCGAACCCTTCCTTGAGTTCAATATTTCTTCCAACACTGCCTTCCTCCAAGAACTTGTTCCCAAGGAAGCGCCCATTTCTACTTATCCAAACTCTTTGATCACTTGGGAAGTAAAAGTAATATCCTAAACTATCTTTAGGATATCCAATGAACCGACCCTTCTCGGATTTAACATCCACCTTATCAGACTTAACTAATTTAACATAAGCTGGACAACCATAAATCTTCATATAATTCAGACTTGGACGTTTTTCATACCATATCTTATACGGTGTTTTCTGGACAGTTTTAGACATAACCCTATTAAGGATGTGCACAGCGGTCTGGAGAGCGTACCCCCACAGAGACATTGGTAAGTCTGTAAAACTCACCATCGATCGTACCATATCCAATAATGTATGATTTCTCATTTCAAACACTCCATTAAGCTGGGGTGTATAGGGAGGAGTCAATTATGAGATGATCCCATTTCTTTTAAGAACTCTTGAAACTCTGTACTCAAGTATTCACCCCCATAATCTGATCATAGTATTTTAATACTCTTTCCAGTTTGATTTTCTACTTCATTCTTGAATTCTCTAAATTTTTCAAAGGATTCATATTTGTATTTCATCAAATACAAATACCCATATCCTGACATATCATCTGTAAAGGTAATGAAGTATTCAAATCCTCTCCTAGCTAAAGTACTGAATGGTCCACACACATCTATATGTATGAGTTCTAATAGTTCTTTAGCTCACATTCCTTTACTCTTAAAGGGAGACTTGGTCATCTTTCCTTGGAGACATGATTCACAGGTTGGATAGGGTTCAAAACCAATGAGTTTAGGATCCCACTTTCTCCAAGCTGTACTAATCTTCTCTCTCCTATATGACCCAATCTATGATGCCATAGAATTTTAGGATTTGATTCAAATCGAGTTCTTTTATTAGAAATGGTATTGATTTAAGCATAGTCATTTATTTCTAAGACATGCAAACCATTCGTATTCATAGCTTTACCAACTAAAACATTTCCAAAATGTATTGAATATTCATTTTCATTAAACATTACATAGTAACCTTCTTTACACAAAGCAAAAATAGAAATGATGTTTCTGGTGGCCTTTTAAAAGTACAACACCTTAAATAAATTCAAAACATGCCCTAAAGGTCATTTTAGTAGGCAAGCCCCCATGGCCTCGGCTACAACTCGTGCCCCATTTGCCATCCTTAAAATGATCTCGCCCTTTGTTACCTTAGAACTATTCTAAAGTACCTGCAAAGACATACAAACATGAGATGTTGCTGCTAAATCTAATATCCAGGAATGACTATCTGAATTAACCCTTAATTCATATGCAATAATAAGACATTGGTTCGTACCTGGTTTTCCTTTACCTTTCCTCAGACTGTTCAGGTATTGAGGACAGTTCCTCTTCTAGTGTCCATCTTCTCTATGGTGGAAACATTTTCCCTTTACATTGGCCTTCCTTGCCTTTGCCACTGGCTTCTTGAAGCTCTTATTCTTGGGTCCAACTTTTGGACCTTTCTTTGGTTGCTTTTTGGGTCCTTTTAGTAGCCCTGCTGGTGGAGGCGGCAAAGACATCCTCTTGTCCTTTCCCTTTCACATTTTGCCTGTGAAATTCTTTAAGCTCATTTAGCAATTCAGAGAGGTTTCGTTCAATCCTATTGAGATTGTAGTTAGTTATAAATGGTTTATAACTTGGAGGGAGGGATTGTAGAATCAAATTCACTTTGAGGCGGTCTGGCATGACCACCCCATATCCATCCAGTCGACCTAATCCAGTGATCATCTTAAGAGTATGATCATCTGGAGGTACCCCTTCCCTCAACTTCATGCTAAAGACGGATGCACATAACTCATACTCAACCACTTTTGGATTTTCACTATACAACTCTTGTAGAGCTGTGAGGATATCATAAGCATTTGAAACCTTTTCATGCTTAGCTTGAAGTTCTTTATTCATTGAGGCTAGCATGTAACTTCTAGCCCTCCTACTATCCTCTCTCCACTTTTCAAAAGCATCAAGCTCAGCTTGTGGAGCATCTGATTCAATATCAAGTGGAAGAGGTGCTTCCAGGACATAAGCAATCCTTTCAAAATCTAGAACAATTCTAAGATTTCTTAGCCAATGCTTAAGGTTAGGTCCGGTTAACATGTTATTATCCATTATCCTTAGGAGAACATTGTTGGCCATTTTTCGATTATATATCACAAAGATGAAACTGCAAAGAAAAATAATTTTATTAGCGTCTTGTAATCTTTTAAACCTTTTAATGCATAATCAAATTAGCTCCCACTATTTTATTCGAGTCTTACACTCCCTTAAATAGGATCCGAAAATTTTCGTTGGATTAAATTTCTTAGTGGGGAATCAATTTTTTATTAAATTCAATTAACCTCACATAATAGAATTCTTGGTTAATTAAGTCTAATAAGTAGGAAACTATTTTCCTTTTATATCACTATATAAGGTTTGATTCATATTCCTTGTCTTAGCTTCGGTTACCTCACATAATAGAATTCTTGGTACCCTATGCTAGTTAAATCCGAACCATTGTGCTTTCTTAGGATGACATTTTCATCATGTCCTCACATAATAGAAATCTTGGTCAACGTAAAAATATCCATCCAAGAACAAGATCAACTTAATTCTATGATATAAAGATTATATCCCTCACATAATAGAAATCTTGGGATACTAAAATTTATATTAAAGAATTTAGCTATCCCACAATGAGAGACTTGGATTTAATAATTTTAATTTGGGGAGATTTAGGTTTAACCTTAGTTAATTAATTTTTTTTTTTTTTTAACATGTCATTTTTAATTAACTATTCATACATATCACATATATGCATAAATTAAAGCATGTGGGTTGATCATGGGGCTTTTCGAAAATACATCCTAAAGGCAAACTATTTACCCTACTACTATATCTCTGATTGGATCATCATCCGGATGCTCTTCAAGTTCCCGCCTAGCCGATTCAATTACAAATTGGATCTTAGGCACACAGGCCCAATTAAAATAAATAAATAAAATTTAATTATTATAAGCCATTTAATAAAAGAATACTACAAACACTTTTGAATATTTTTGAAAACTAAATGGCACCTATGATCAATCCTCTAATCTAATATTCATCCATCTCATAAATAAATATTGAACATTCATACCAAATATAATAAACAATTATTTAAAGGCAAGAATATAAACAATTATTTAAAATATATATATATATATATATATTCATGTGATAATTTAATCATAACTTTTGGGCATGCAACAATTACACATTTCAAAGGAATCATTACACAAACACTTTTGTCATATTCCACCCAAAGATATAATAATGAATTCATTATTTAATTATTAACATCATTTCAATACTTTTCACAAAAGTCATGCATGGCATAGATAAATGGGTTTTATTACTTCAAGAGTAATCATTCTATGACACAAGTTACTTTTAACTAAAGTAATATTTTTTATGACTCATTTATCTTCTTAAAGACAATCATATCATCTAGCATCATCAATTTTTAAAACCATAAAAAAAACCAAATTATTACATTTCAAAAATATAATAATTTATGCCATGCAATGATGCATTATAAGATAATTTAATCAAATTAAACATCATACATTAAATTACCACCATCATATATACATAATATCACAATTCATCATATGAATTAATAATCCATAACTTTATGCTAACATCAAATTCCACCACTAAACACTTGCAATATTTGCATACACTTCATACAAAATACAAACTTTAATCATATTGAAGGATAACACATTTAGCATGTCAAAGCATAAATCATTTAATCAAAGTCATGGAAATGAACATGCATGAACATTTCTTAATACATCTCATGCAATAACCATCATCCAAGCATACATTTAGACCCTTTATGGAACAACTTCCAAAACACATTACAAACTTATTTATTAAAACAAGAATCAAATGAACAAAAAACATGCATGGCCGAATTTAGCAAGAAAAATTCTATGTACTAATCAAGGCATGCATGAACACTTTTGTCACCATAAATAGTATATATAAATTAAACATATAATGATTCTTGCATGTTTCAAATTAAAAAATCAAAAACATCTTTATACATTTTATGTCATGGCCAAATCTCATTCCAAGAAAAAACCAATAAACATTTCATTATCTTATTACTAGGCCAAAACAAGAACATGCATGTCACTTTCATACATGATAAACACAAGAACACTTGGAAAATGCCATTTTTGCTTATAAATTCGACATGCAAGGAGCTTTTTACCTCTGATACCATTTTAAAGAACAACATGCATGAAGAGTGGTGGAAATGAAGATTGAAAGCATGAAAGGTTGGATTCATAGGATACGCAAATTTCAAACCAAGTGTAAGAAACTTATACCTTCTCCTGTGCTTTGGGTTGATGAAGACAAGACTCAAAATGATGAGACCTCCACACTTTAACACCACCTTGAGAGAGTTAGAGAGTGGCCATGGCTAGGGAGAGAGCTTTTAGTTTGCTTTTGAGTGAACAAAGTGAATAATGAACTAAAAGGCAACCATTTGCATTTATATATACTTGGGCAATTTTGCAATTATTTGTTTTTCAATTCTATGCCCAAAATCTTATTTTAAAAGGTGCCCATGAATTTATTATTTTACCCTTTGAATAATCAATATTATTCAAGGGCCCGTGTAAACTAAACTAGTTTAACAACCCATAAATTTACCCTTTTACCCTTTTACCCTTTTACTCTTTAACTATTAAAAGGCTATTTTCGTTCATTGTAATATCCCACTTGAGGTACGTATTTAAGATTTGTTGTATTAGTTAAAAGTTTATTGTTTTAACTTAAATTGAGTTTGTATGTGGAGTTGGTTGAATTGTTGCCTTGAAATGGGTTGAGTTTTGGTGAAGTTGGAAATCCAATCTTCGCCGGGGGGAAGAAGAAGCTTCGCCGCGGCGAGGAGGAGAAGTGGCACTACGGGTAGGTTCTGCCCTATTTCGCCTATTTAGGGTATTAGAATTTGATTTCAAATTTTCAATTTGAAAATAAGTTTTAGAATAATAGGATTTGAATTTGAAAATAAGTTTTTGTTGAATATGATTTGAATTTGAAAATGTGTTTGTTATATTATTTAAATATTATATTAGAGTTTAATAAATTATTGAATAATTGTGTAGTATATTATTTCAAAAATGATTTTAAGGTATAATATTTTGGTGCATTTTATTAAAAAAAATTTATTATTTGATTCTAAAATTTTTTAATTTACATTTAAATAATATTAATTAGTTGTTCCGTATTTTTTTATCACTAAATTAAAAACAAATTCTCCATAATAATTTTACCTACTAATACAATATCTAAAAATAGGACATTAATACATATTTAAATTAATAATACGAAGTTACTAATAATCATTCCTTAGAATCCTTGTACACCTCCGTTCCATTAACAATTATGACATGGATTCATGTTGTGCCCACATAGCATTAGTTATACAAAAATGCTACAGATATCGAGATTTTTACACCGAAATATTATACCGCCTACGTGTCCCTCGATTCACACCAGCAAACCAGACACGTTTCACGTTATTTTTTTTTTTAGTGAACGGTCGTTCATCAAATATAGACGGTCGTTCACTTACATGGATTTTCATCCATATTATATGGACAAGGGTCCATTTACTACGGACGGACCATGAATAAAAAATTCTTATAAAAATTAGGGACGGCCGTTCATAGGTTATGGACGGTTGTCCCTAAATATTGGACGGGTGTCCATTTGTCCATTAACAATTCTTTTTAAAACATTAAAAAAATTTAGGGATGGCCATCCCTTCATTTTAGATGGGTGCCCGTAAATAAGGGACGTCCGTCCTTAATCTAAATATGAAAATAAAAAAAATAAAAAAAAAAATTGGTATTTGTGAAAGACTGTCCCTTATATTTGGATAAGCGTCCATAAGGAATGGATGCGGGTCCCTTATCGTGGTTTATACATTTGCAAGGGCTACCCACTTGCTCCATATTTCTTATTAATTTTTGTGTGGTCATTGTTATTAGTGAAATTTAATTGGTAAGTCAATGCCAAAACATTACCTTCTGCTTAATTTGACCTCTGAAAATAAGTTTTGAATTTACATTTATTTTGAAACACATTTTTTTCTGCTAGAGAACTCTGTATCTAGACACTGATCGTCCAAAGTGTTTCTTTTATTCTTTAAAAGCCAAAATAATGGACAGGCGTCCATTCCTTATGGACGTCCATCCAAAAGTAAGGGACGACCGTCCATAATTTATGGACAGGCATCCCCAAAGTTTTTCTTTTGTTTTTAAAACCAAAATAATAGATGGGCGTCCATTCCTTACAGACGCCCGTCCAAACTTAAGGGACAGCCGTCCACAATTTATGGACGGGCATCCCTAAAGTTTTTTTTTTTTTTATTTTCATATTTAGAGTGAGGACAAGCGTCCCTTATTTACGGGCACCTGTCCAAAATGAAGGGACGGTCGTCCATAACCTATGAACAGCCGTCCCTAATTTTTATAAAAAAAATTATTCTATTTTACTTATGGACGGGCGTCCTATAAATGGAGACGCCCGTCCATAGTAAATGGACCCCCGTCCATATAATATGGACGGGGGTCCATGTAAGAGAACGGTCGTCCATATTTAATGGACGGCCGTTCACTAGAAAAATATTTAATGAGTCTAGATTATTGGTGTGAGTCAGTGGACACGTAGGCCAGTATACATTTTCGGTGCAAAAATGTCGGTCTCTGTAGCTTTATTGTTAGTTATATTATCCCTCAAAGTTCCCACGTCGTTTGTATTATGTTGATGCAGTTGATTCGATCCCACCCCATTCCCTTAAGTTTCTGCCACGTTTTCTATATCAAAATATCCTTCCTCATAAACTCTATCTGCATTAAACTTTTCGAAGATAGGGTTCTGCATATCAACCTTATGATAAAATTGTGAATTACACAATATGCCATAGCAATTTTAGCTTGCCTCTCCAATGGGTAATTGTTCATGCCATCAAGAATACGAAACCTTTTTTTCAAAACACCTAAGGTTTTCTCCACAACATTCCGAAGCGATGCATGTTTGTAATTAAACAACTGAAGGGGTCCACT